TACATACATACATATATATATATATATATACATATGTATATCTTTGAATGCTTACTGTGTAGACTTTCGTTTCTGTTGAATCCGTACCGAGTCTTTCAGCAGATATCTATACATTCCTCGCTGCGTATAACAACTGATGTCTGTGCCATGGGTTTTATACTATTCATTTTCTTCCGCCGCATTATTCTAGGCCAATTGAAGGCGGTGAAATTGTTGGTTTCTCGCGGAGCGGACATCAACGACCGTGACTGGACCTGGGGCCAAAATTCACTGCACTGGGCATCGGTCAAAGCGCACGTTTCCGTAATGGAATGGCTTATCTCACTAGGTATGTAACGTGTACATTGCACGATGGCGATGGTTTCACATATAAGCAGAGTAGGTCAGCGCACATGTCTTACTGTGTATGGTACCCTGCACACTTTGCTGTTATTATGCCTGGAGAATCTGATGATTGTTTACTGTTTAATGTACATTGTTATGATCATAAGCATGTATTGTGATTAAATACTCGGCAGCGGCGTTGTAAAGCGAAATGACTAGTTCAATACTCAATGTGGTTTGGATCGACACTTGAATGTCGTATGTATCAGTGTCCACATCACCTGACCCCACCGCACGTATCAGCTACCTACGATCGGGTCATATCTCTCGTAGTTATTATTCATACACATAATGTAGACCTTTCCCAAATTGAGTGTTGCCAAGTTTCACAGCGCAACTCTGGACCCATCAGCACGCTCTCGCTTTACTGTGATAGTCTCGTTGCTAGCGTGACTCAATGCTGCTTTGTTACTTTTGAATAGGAATGGATGTCAATGCTCTGGACGAAGACAAAGGAGCTACTGCACTGCATCTGGTGTCATCGAATGGCTCGCTGGATGCGACACACCTACTACTAGAGCACGGTGCTTTAGCATCAATCGAGGACCAGGACAAGAACAAGCCCGAGGATGTGAGTAAATACGCCCAAGTATTGGGTGTTTCATATGTGTCTGTGTTTTCATGTACACGTGTTCGGCCCGGTCTTTTTCTTCTGCAGCCGGTAGGCGAGCACCATTGGAGTGTGCGGGCGACACAATATCAGCCGGCGCTGACTGTACTGTTGTATATGTTATAGCCCCAGTATTCTTTACTAGACCAGTTCAAAGCGATTGCCTTGAATACACTGCACCCGTGGATGCAAGTCATGGCCGAACGGGTTATGTCTCTAGCGCCAATGTTCACACCAATGCTGTGGTACTGTGCTGCAATAGGCACGCCGGTGTACGTACCCATCAAGAAGCTGATGGGAACTTTCAAGGCTAACTTCAATGTTTAGTTGTTCGTAGGCTAGGTTTCAGTTATTCCCTGGCTAGTTCGTTGTGAGGTTGCAGAACATCAATCCCACAATTCAGTGCGTTCTCGGGAGTTCCAGTCTGTCGTGTCCCTTTGTACTTTTCGGCAAACTTACAGTTCAGAATTGCGAACAGGCAGTTGACATATTGACCATACCATGCTTTTATGTAGCAAACGGGAAATGAAGCCATCAAAGAAATGTTGAAGAAGTCGCGCCAGCAGGCATCCGCCAGGAAACTAAAGCGCTCAAAGAGATTTAAGAGACTCCACATCAAGGGACCCGAAAACTGGGACAAAGATGATGTAAGTCGTTCTATGAGACGTGAATTTTCAGGTGCACTTTCTGAGCCTTTCTAAATTCTCATGCGAGTACTCGCTCCATGCGAGCAAGGGATGTGCATGTATACCTATTATGGGTACGTGCTGGGGGTCCAATTATTGGCTGTATAGTACGTAAGAACCGTATGTAGACTGTTATTGATTGTTTGTAACATATAGTCCTCATATGAAATGTACGTCTAGTAGTCGGCTATGTTTTTCTCTCATCCGTCATCGTCTTTCCATTTCGAACAACACAAAGCCCAACCTAAACCGGGAGATAACAAAACTAAAACTATAGACTGGCAAACTATCGAAAGACTGCCCCATTCTTGTAGTACTTAACTCCACAGATATCCCCACACCCTTCAACACGTGCATATAGTTCACTTGTCCTTTCCTCACGTACATCGAATTCACTCATTCATTCCACTTGCCAACATAATTTTCTTATCCTTTCCACATGTACATAAGTTTCACTTTTCCACTCCACACACACATACAATTCAATTATCCACACACGTTATCCACACTTAGCCCATACCCGTGTATGTAATGCGCTTGTCCATCACACACGTATATATATTTCTTTTTATCTTTTTCACGCATACACATGTTTCACTTTTCCATCAATACGTATATACAATTCTCTATGTCCATACTTCTCCATACCACACGTGCAAATATTTCATTTGTTCATTTTGCTTGTATATATAATGTAATCTATGTGCAGGTTCTCGAGTGGCTCGATTGCATGGAAGCGACAGATACTTTGGCGCATGTCTTTAAGCCGTTGGAGGTCACTGGTTCGCAACTCATTCGCGAGGCTAAGTCTCTGATGGGATCGGACCCTGATCTTATGGGTCATATGTTAAAGGGATTGGAGGTATGTCTCGCGCCCAATTAGGTTGCTCCTACTGTGATGGAGGAAAGTCACTACAGTTGTCCTTGTCTGTTCGACATAGATTGTACTTGTTATTAAGGTTTATCTCTCATCGTTACTACGTTTTTCTTTCTCATCGACATAGATTATACTTGTTATTAAGGTTTATTTTCATCGTTACTACGTTTTACTTTCTCATCGACATAGATTGTACGTGTTATTAAGGTTTGTTTCTCATCGTTACGACGTTTTACTTTCTCATCGACATAGATTTCAATTCTCACTACCATCTAATTTTGTGTCCATTTCAATGAGTGTGGTGTTGGGGAGTTCGACTTACCCGGACTGAGTAGTGTACATAACAGCAATATATATAACCCCGATCATTTGTAAAACCTCTTTTAATGGGTTGAATAGCATTCTGATTCTACCGTTGCATGGGGCACAAGAGACCAGATTGTTACCACGCTGCATGTTTTTGTACCATGATCCGCCATTCAATTTCACTTTTGAGTTCAATGCGCATCGAACACATAGCTTGTGGAACGTCCCCGTTTTGATCAGTGCTCTCCCAGAGTTTGGTACTGGTCTGTGGTCTGTTTTTCACGTTCAGCGTTTATATATTGACTCAATAACTCTTTTGTGGCTCGATATTCCTGCTCACTTTCGCCTACCACCGCGCAGGACGCAAAATACCAACACCAAATAGTGGCCGACGGACTGGCTGCCAACGCGGCTCTAACTACCAGGAATTATGTGACAATCGCATTTGGGGCAGTTGCGGCGATACTTCTGATTAGGCTGGTCTACAGACAACTATTCGCGGCGCCAGAGGCTAAGAAGAAAAAGGCACAGTAAGGGGATGGATGAAAATGTAAAGCTGGCCTCCAATTAGTGAAGAGGATAGCGAGGCTATGTGGAGAAATGCAAGTGATAAAAATAAGACTACAATGTGAGGAGATAAGGAATGATACAGTGCAGCACACGGGGCACCATATAGTACAACTCACATTATATACTGACGGCTGTGTGTTGTGGAAATAGACCTCATATACACTATTTGAGCACCATAACTGTGACATAGCCGTACATCGAGAGGATTTATGTAAGGGAAAGTAATGTAAGGGTGGGTGGGGAATCGGGTTATACAACAGGATGCGACGAATAGCGAAACAAAAGTTCAATAAAGTATGTTTTAGCTACCACAAAATTCATGATGTCATCGGAAACGCTAACCATTGAAGCACAAAAATTTTACGCTGCTATTTTACATACACGGTTGGTATTTGCATACTCTAGACTACGCGTATAAAGAACATCGAGCTCATAGAGTCCAATGTGCATGTCGTACAGGTACGGATATCAGGAAGTTCCCAACCAGACCAACCACATCCATCCCATTCGAACCCTATCACTAATTTTGCCAATATAGCTGAGGGTGCGTGGTGTTTTTATATTACACTACTAGTCAACTGGCAATAGCAATGAAGGGCTTTCCGTGTTGTAGGGGTTGTGTAATTAGCTTAAATTGCAATCCGTTGGACCAAATCAAAAACCTCGTATGTTGCTATTTAGTCGTATCTTAATTTTATTCCCACCTTTTAAGAGTAGTTTGTGTATCAGACGCGTGAAGCATCTTTTGCGTCTCGTTGCCAGCCACTTGGGCACTCATTTTTTAGAGATTTCATCACCGACACGGTACGAAGCTATCTTGCCCCAGTCCAATTTAGATTTGGTGATCGGTAGAGCCCGTCGTAAGCTTTTGAAACAATCGCCAGCCTATAGGTGTTGCAGAGATGACAATTGAGGACATATGCATGTATTTGTGTAGCAGCTCGGTCTAGTACACCAAACTGATTTTGCCGGCTAGAAAGTATCGCCTTGCCGCAGCTCACACAACACACACCAATGGCTAGCAAGAGCGTAGAGGCGTGTTGGATGTGCTTGCAGTGTATGCGAGTGTGCCGGTGTAAATTTCGATCGCATTTGCATACGCGCGCATGGGTGTGTCTGCTAGCGGATGGATTCAAACGTGCGGGTCCGTAGCCTTCTGTAAGACGGATGGATGCACGACTGCACACTTGTATGAGTCTACAGGCTCAGGGTGAATACATTCATGGCACCAGATGTACGAATCGTTGGCAGTATATGGGAGTATGGAGCTTCTGTAGCATATGAATGTATGGGAGTTCTGCAACATATGAATGTGTGGGAGTTCTGCAGTACATGGATGTATGGGAATAGATATGATACGATAACGTAGGGTGTAGGATTTGGGAATGTTAAGTGTGTAGTTTTTATTCAATTAAAATACCGGATTGTAAAAGATCCTGAGCAAAGATACCCCCATACACGTTTGCGGCGAGAAGAACGACGATCCCGAACGCATGCCGAACACAGTGCAAATAACAACTATTCGACTGCCCTGATAACAACCGTAACACAACATAGATATCCCATGTTGCGTGACATACCATCGCAATGTAGTTCTCGTTCACAGCTGATTGATAAGTGCCCTCGCACTTCAGAAGGTACTTTCCAACCTTATCGGCAAGATCGTCCGTACTCTGTTTGTGCATGACGATGGCGAGCATTTGGTTGGGTACGTGAGACTCTCTACAGATACGTATACTTGTGTGCAATGCTGGCTTTCCATGTGTGAGATACATACCGGATTCGCAGTAAATTCTCTGATTGAAAGTGTGTATTTTTAATATGCATATTTATAAAAGCCACAGGCGCGTTCGCAATAATATAATCATGGGATGACACCAACACTGCAGGGCACGTGTACATGCGGTTCTGATATGAATCATTCATATATTGTGCTCACAGTAGCTTAGGTTGTGACGTTGTGTGACGCAGTTGTGGGTATACATACACCCCAGAGCACAAGTTCCTCTCCCTCTCCTTCACACACTATACAATGCACCTCCAGGATATGATAATGAGCGCAGCAAGAGCGAAGAAAGCTGAAATACAACACAACTCATGCATTTGCGCCCCTATCGGCTTCGTACAACATCTGTTTTGGATTCATATTCCACTGCAACACTACGTAGACATGCAACGATAGTCTCCATGGGACCATGCCTACACTAACCTGACCACAACAATCGAAACTCAAGACGGCTCAACGGACAACATACCGAAGACGAAATGGTTTCGTTGACATCCTTGCCCGCCTGCAGCTGAATGTTTGCGTCCTCAAAGTAGTGCACGCGCATTTTGATCTTCCCTCTGATCTCGGCGCTGCCATTCTCTGTGGATATGAAATACTCACTGGTCCACCTGCCGGTAAATGGAGTGATAGGATCAGTGTGATTGCTATGGAGGAAGGTGGAAACAGATGCACCAGACCAATATTTCTGCCAAAAAAAAGGGACTTCGCATCTTTTAGAATATTTCACCAAATCCGAAAAGCCGTGTGAAAGCGAGATTGAATGCTACTTACATTCCGCACCAGAAGTTTGCAAGCGAAAACTTGTGCGACTCAATGCAAACTGTGTATATGTTGCAACCGCCCTCTTGTTTACAGTACACAGTGGACGTCCCATCGACGTAGTATTGCTCCACATACTCGTCAACAGCGGTCTGGATTGCTTGTCTGCGATAACTCAAAGAGCATAAGTATAAAGATGCAAATCTTATATGATGTTTCGAGTCTCCACGGGTGAGTGCAAGTGGATTCCATAGCCAACCCGTACGTTCACGCGAAACAATAAATTGAACTCTTCATATAATACCAAATCTGATCAATTCCACAGTCAATCTTTCCAGCTCGCGGAACTCACACTGTGTTTTATTTAATTGCGTCGGCCTAGAATTTTTGAAATATCTACGAGCCGAACCAGATTAATATATATATGTTGGTGAGAGCTACACGACCATTATCCGCACAAGCATACATTGCTACGAACACCATTCTCGACCAAACCTACTGATCGCATGTGCCGTCACACACACACACACACACACACATATATATATATATAATACATACAAACACACACACACATACATACATACAAACATATATACATACATATCTACATCCATACACACATACATACATACATTTATACATACATACATATATACATACATACATACATACATACATACCGACAAGCCTCCGCGTCTTCATCAGTATTTATCTCCGCCGCTTCAATACTCTCTACCAATCGACTGATAGGGTTAAATGAGAATGTCCGTTGTGTGCGGGGTTCGAGATAACAACTATCTATGGTGTTGCCATGTGGGGTTACCATCGCCTGCATGACCACCCAGTGATCGGGGTCCGAGGACAAACATGTAAAGGAAGAATGTGATCTGAGTACGTACAAACTACTATCTCGGGATATATACACAGAACACAGAGGAATGTCTGTATGGTACTTTTTGTTCTGTTGACTTGTTCGCATATGTGCTAGTAATTCATACGGCAATAACCCGCTTCTTTTCGATACTTCAAGCCCGATGATTTGGACAAGCACATCAAGTGACATGTTTTGCTCGAGAAATAAAGAAGCACCTCCACATTCACGAGATAGAACTCACCCGGACAGCAGGTTTGCCATTTTCTTCGGGCAGTTCTACGGAGAGGAACGAATCCCTGTGCAGTTTAGCGGCAGCAGGTGCCGTGTCTTTGAGAAGTTCGTCATCGCCGAGAAGAGCACGGACATCTAATTTAAAAGCAAGACATCATGAGTCTGTGTTCAATCGCTCGTAGACGCACGATATGGATATATATATATATATATATGCTAGATTTCAGCCGGATTCGTTTGAACCACATATATACATATACATACACAAAAATACATTATAATATATATT